ATACTAAGACAAGGTTGATTTACTAACTCTAACAAAACCTACAACTTATGCAATAAATCGCTACCAACAGAAAATCCTTTCAGCATGAAATTCTAGAAAGCAATATAAATAACCTAATCATGTGATCAACTATGAAATTATATGTGAGAGAGAGAGAGAGAGAGAGAGAGAGAGAGAGAGAGAGAGAGAGAGAGAGTTTGTAGTGGTTTGACATGTTCTTCCTTGGTTTGTGCTTAATCTACTCTCCAATGGTTTCCCATTGAAAATTCTTTGGTCTTTCGTACAATCCCTAGTCCAAAATAAATATTGAAAATTAAAATCCTCTTTCTAGATCTTTGACTTGTATGCAGCTTCACAAACTAAATTGTATGTGAAATCTTTACTCGAATTTGCTTCTAGAATCTTCCATCCCCAACAACCTACTCCTAAGTTTTTGTCTACGAAAATTTCCACACAATCTCGTTGGTATCTTGAGTGTTGGTATATACAAAGATTGAGAAAAACTCCTTCCCTATATAGAGGTCTTCTTGTGTTATGATGTGGTGTCTTCGAGAATTGTGTAAGGCGTAGCTCTAAGTTTGTCATATTGTAATACCTCAAATTGTGTAGTAGTTCGAGACATAGCTTTGTGTTAATTTTCTTTTATACACAAGAGTCTCTCATTTAGAAGGTGTGTGTTCTATTGCTGCACTAGGTTGTAGATACTTGTATAAGTCCGTTCTCTTCTTGTATCCCGAGTGTGGTTAGTTGTTGAATTTTTTTTGAAACATTTATGGCTTGGATGCTTGCATTTAAAGTTGAGGTTTTTTAGAATTTTGACCTTGGAGCAGTTGCTAAAAAGGTTGGAACGCTGAAGGACCTGGAAATTTCCTCGTCCACCCAATGAAGGAACCAAAATTTGAGAAGATGAAGTGGTTGGAGATGTTACTAGATGTAGACCTCTACCCCCAACAAGATAAAGAGGAACTTCATGAGTGGAGATGAGGATCAAATTTGCAATAACTGACCAATTGAGTTGTTTTGGAAGTTACCTTACCTGGTTGGGACAATTCAGTATGATGTGATCATTTAACAAGAACAGTTGTAATTGGGAAACGAAGGAGATTGAGGGAGTTTGTCGTGGTTTTTCGTGAGAATCAAGAAATGATTCCCACAGACAGTGTCACTATTCTAGTGTGAAATAGAAAATTGTTGAGATGCTAGTGAAGTCACCATATAAGCTCTTTAATATGGATAGGTGAATCTCCAATAGGTGGAGAAGGGGTGTTTTTGCAAATTATTACTTCAACATCTAAGTCAATGAGATTAGAGAGGTGTAACTTGAAAAAATGAATGAAATTGTAGTGGTAGGGCATGTGATCGCGTTTATATACGAGTGACAATTAAAACCACCCCTTGTGAACATGACGTGAAATACGAGAGGCTATTGGATTGATTTCAGCGATTGTGATAAACGTGGTGTCGGGTTTCACTTTGCGGTCTTTTGGAAAGGTTCACTTGTTCATTATCTTTAAGCAGGCGAAACTCTAAATTTTGTCAGACTTACTGAATCGTTTGGTTGGTCTAAAACAAGTATTATATTTTTTTAATTGCGTATAAGTGAGATGTAAACAAAGGATAAGTATTAGAAAAAAAACTTATATTATAAGGTTTGAATAGAAAAAATATTTTATAGAAGAAAAACTAAAACTTGTTCAAATGATAGAGAGGCAAAAACCTATGTGAACGTGAGGTAAAATACGAAAGGTTGTTGGATTGATTCTAACGGTTGTGATGAATGCGTTGTTGGATTTTACTATGCAACCTTTTAATAAGGATTTATTTGTTCATCATCTTTAAACAGATGAAACTTTGAATTAGATTAGATTTACTGAACTGTTTCACCTGCCATAACAAATATTAATTCTTAAAAAAAAATATTTGTAAGTTAGATATCATCAAAGAATAAATATTAAAAAATTTATATTGTAGGGATTGAATAAAAGAAAGATTTTATGAAAAAACAAAAACAAAAACTTACCCAAATGGTAGAAGCAAAAATACTTTAACTCTATTATTATTTATGTATTTTGTCAAAAATGTATAAAAGTAAAATTTTGTCAGCCTATGTTTTTATGCTATTTGTTGTGACTTGTGAGTATGTTATTAAAAAAATATGTAGTAATATTTGGGTCAAGTCTATTTAAATTATACTTGTATCTCTCTCTGTAACGTGACATTTTTCTGTTAGTAATATGGAAGATTCAAATTTAATTGAATCTATTTTTCTATCATTGATGCAAATATAAACCACTAATAGTGACACCATTAGAGACTACTTAGGAGAAAAATAGGTATAATTAGTCACAAACTTTACCATAAACATAACATTGATAAGAAAATACACCCTATATGATTAGACCAGGTGTTTAATTTGAGCAACTATATAGGCCACAATAAGTGTATGGCCCATGTGAAAAGTAAAGAATGCATGTGACTGGTCTGTGTTTGAAACGGAAACCTGAGAAGGATTTTGAACTTCAAAAAATGGAATATTGTTTGAGGTACCAAGATTGGGACAATTCAAACCATTGTCATTATTATGTGTCGTAAACATGTGATTGTTTCTGTCACTCATTACTGTTTTAGTTGAAGGAATTATGCTAGTTTCTTTAGCTTTTGATAAGACCTAAACTCATTGTTTTAGGTAATGTACCCTTCAAAGCTACTAGTCCTTTACATTAGATTACAATGTAAGAAGTTTCTCATCAATGAGAATGTCCTTTTCACTTTCAACAATAAGTGTAACAAGAGTAATAGTTGTTGTCTCAATTGCTTGAATTTATTATGCCAAAATACTATACGGGACAAATGAATTGAAAATTGAGGTTTAAGGGGTGGTAATTACGTCCGTCCCGCAAAAGTGAGAAAAAACGGGCCAGAGCATAGCGGATATTGTATAGGGTGCGGATCTATAATTCTATATCATTGATCTGTCTAAAGAAAAGAGGGTAGGACGGAGATTGCACATTTAATTTAGGGATGGCAAAATGGATGAATTTGATGGATATGAGTTGGATTGTTAATGGATGGATTAAAACAATCTATTAATCCATTAACAATCCACTATCATTTTCTTAAAATTATCCAATCTAATTCATCCATTAATAATAAAATCCATCTAATCCATCCATTAACATATTCTTAATAGATGGATATCCATCCATCCAATTTTTTTTTATTTCGTAAAAATAAATATATTTTTTATTTTTAAAAAAATTATTTTTTAATATATTTATTTAAAAAACTGAATTTTTTGTATTTTTAAAAAAAAATTGATATTTTAATTTTTGAGAAATATCTATTTTTTTTCTTAAAAAAAAGTCGGTTTTTTTCGAGAAAAAAAACCAATTTTTTTTTTAAAAAAAGTCAGTTTTTTTTCGAGAAAAAATTTTATTTTTTTTTCGAAAAAACAAATCAGTTTTTTATTCTAAAAAAAATGATTTTTTTTCGAGAAAAATTTTTAATTTTTTTAGAAAAAAAAATCAATTTTTTTTCAAAAAAAAAAGTCAGTTTTTTTTCGAGAAAAAAAATATAATTTTTTAATTATTTTTAAGAAATCTATTTTTAAAAAAATAAATCTAACGAAAATAAAAATAATCCTGGATCCTTAAAATATGTTGGATGGATTGAATTCATCCATACATATAAATGGATGGATTTAATAGAATTCATTAACTTATTTTTTGTGTGGTGGATGGATTGGATGGATTTTTTGATGGATGGATTAAATGGATTTTGCCTTAATGGATTCAATTGGCACCTCTAATTTAATCTTTGATTAGCAAAATCTTTTTTTGAGTTTATAGTTTATAATTTATAACTTATAGCTCATATGATAATTTAAACTTAATTGGTAATGGTCTTTTATGACGAGTTTATAGTTTATTTTATTAATTTATAGTTTATTTTTCAAACGCTATTTTAAATAACGTTTTATCTTATAGTTTATTTTTTAGATGTTATTTCAAATAGCGTTTTATTTTATAGCTTATTTTTCAGACGCTATTTTAAATAGCGTTTTGGCTTATAACTCATCATTTTCTCTTTCATTTTTATCCTTATTATTTTAATAAAAATCTATTTTTATTCTTTACAATTTATTTTAATTTAAAATAAAATAATTATATATTAAATATATTTTATGTGATTTTACATTTATAAATTAATTTTATCAAACATTTCAATTAACTTATAAGCTATAAGTCATTAACCATCAGTTATAAGCTATAAGTCATCAATCATCATCAACTATAAACTATAAACAAATTTATTGCAACAAAAAAAATAATGCTAATGTCTGCATTTGAAGGAAAAAAAACGAAATGAAACAGGACAGACATATTAAAGAGTAGGACCAAAAACCATAGCCCGTCCTAAGAGAATAATACAGGCAAAACCAACATTCCCTAGACCGAATCCATTTTATCAACCATTTAATACTCAAAATAACCATAATATAAAAAATGTTCATACGAATCTCACAACTCTTCAAAACATATTAAAATATTAAAATAAATCTCACAAATGAGACAAAAAAGCATACAAATGAGACAAAAAAAGAATAGTAAGCTTTGAATTGAAGTCTTGAACATGAAATTAGTAATTTAGTTATTTTTTATAGTTACCAAAAAGACTATACACAATGAAACTTCTAAAGCAATATGAATTGGAAAATTTTCCACAGCACCTAATGGATGCTAACAATTAAACAATGAAAATGGATCAAGGCTGCAACATGTTAAGAGAAGCACAACCCAATTCCAATATGCTTAATAACAATAATACAGAATCAATCAATCAATCAATCAATCAGAGGCTTCTACTAATATTTCCATGTTAAAAAATTCAACTAATTGAAAGGTTGCAGCTTCTTCCCAAGGACACAATGTTGCAGCAGCAGAAGTTCCAATCCAATCCAATTTTTGTGCAGAGATGCAGAAAAACAAAAGCTCTTATATCTATGCACCATTCTTTGCAGAGTCAGCATGGTGTGCATGACCATCTTCCAGAATCTTGCCATTTGCTTGAGTTCTTTGTCTCTAAACAAAGTGACAATAACAATGTTATGTCCATATCATAACACATAATAAGACAATGACTTCACTAGGAAAACAAGAATACTCATACACCAGAAACACAACACCAACACTAACAATGAATAAATTAAACATAATTGCAAGTGTCAGTGTAAGTTTCGGACACTGAACTGACAAATCATTTTTCAAAGGTGTCGGTGTTACAGAGATCTTCTCAGTTTCGGGGACTAAAATGTCTATTTACTCTAAGAGACAGAAAAAGACAAGTAGATTGATTATTATTATTAATAATATTATTTATACCCAATCTGAAGGGTCAACAGAATTGCCATTTAACAACTTGTGATTCTCTTCTTTGTTTCTGCCATCTTTGTTGTCTTTGGTGCTTAATGGTAGCAACAGTGTTGCAGCTGTCCTGTCTGGCATTTCTGTTGTTGTGGAATAAATATGTTAGCACACAATTGCAAATAGTAAATGACATAAACATAGTATAATTATTATGTACAACAAACCTTGTAATTTCTTCTCAACAAAAAACACCACCAAATTCACAGTATACCTGTCAGGTTCCAAATAATGAGTTAAAATATAGACAAAGGACATGGACCACAGATTTAACCTTCAAATCTTAGGGTTCTCGTAATTTCGTAATTTCTTAGTTATTGAAATAAATGAAACTCTGAAGGCTTGGTTTGGGATTCGAGAGTGTGATTCTCTCAAGATCTTCCGTTCGAATTCCGCTAGGTACAAACAATTCATGTGTTGGATCAGTCCAAACAGAGTTTTGCTTTGGTAAATAGGCCCTTGCTAGTGGACAGTGGGATTGGTTCCCCATTGGATTATTCGGTCTAAAGGCTGGATACCAAGTTTTAAAAAAAATATGAAACTCTAAAAGGATTAACTGAACAATGGATCGTTGCAAATTCTCATCTCGGTCGAATTAATCAATTTGTGTCAACCAATTCAGTCTCAAAATTGTCTTGGAGAGACTATGATTGATTATTGATCATTTTGGAGTTTTGTTAATTTTAGAAACCAAATTGTCCGACATTCAGAATTTCAAGAAATTAACTGGCGATGAAAACATATCATGAAATGTTCCTTACCAGGCAACAACTACGTCAACAGTATAATGTTTGCGAGATGCTACTATCAAAAAGCTCTGAATGATAGTAAGAGCCCATCCTAGTTGTTTTATACACCTGCGGCGGTTAAAAAATAATCACAATGGGTCATAATTGAACAATGAATCAAACAAAACAAGGATCATTGCGATTATATCATTTGAAAAACTTGAACCTTGAAAATTACGCAAAACCAAAAGAAACTTGAGTTAATTTACCTTTTTGTGCCATATCTCTGGTATGTGTTAACAAAGACTAAAGTAAAGATCATGTGCGATGAAAATATCAAATCACCACATCCATATATCACACCGTGAGGAACTGCATAGAGAGAAAATAAAATGAGCAACAATACAAAAAGAAAGACATTGAAGGTAAACGACTCGAAAACAAAAGTATACTAACAATTAATCAAGAGCACTTCAGCCACGCTTTTCGGATGAGGCAGTGTTGCTAGTGGAGATCCCTGCATAATACAAGTAGTGTTGAGTTAAAGAAATTATTTTAAAGGAAAAACTCGAAGAAAATCAACAGTTAAGCTGCAATTGATTAGCAAGAACGTAAACTATACCTCGCGACAATGGTAGTTTGGACCAGGAAGTTGCGTGGAATAAAATGTCACTATGCGGAGAGCTTGAGCAGCCTGCAGTCAACAGAGGAGCCCGACTTTAAGAAGCAGTCACGTATTGCATAATCAACACGAATTTGTAATTCAATTTATAACGCAAAGTACTAGCGAGTCACGAGTTTCTATAACCACTTACAACTAAGAAAGATAGAACCCTGCACCATATTAGAACCGTGTAGATCTTTTTGGTCTTGAATATGAAAGGATGGAAAGTCCACTGAAAACACACAGATTTTAAACATTATTAAAAGACTCAAATAAAGCGATGAAACTTCATAGAAGCAAGTGAATGCAAGTTGAGAATTCTTACAAGGAAAAACGATAAAAAGATAATTGTAAACAAAGATTCACTAATGTAAGCTCTTTCTTGGCCAAGCTCCTGTAAAAGCCACAACCATCAAAATCAAAAATCAAAAGACGTTCTTATGGAAGACATTGTTTTCAAAAGAGAGAAATAGACGAAAACAACAAACCGGAAGAACGAAGAATCCAAGATCCTGTAATGTAGGACCAGGCCTATGTAAATAATGAACTCCTCTTGCAGCCAAACCATGAATATACTGTATAGAAAAACAGTTTCAATTTTGATTTAGACTTCATAGTTACATGAAAAACACAATAAATGTTCCAATTATTGAGAATGCATATCATCACACAGTTGCAAAATCACACCTAGAAGATTAGTATTATAAAAATTTGAAAAACTTTGTTCCTGATATAGAAAGTTAGAAATCTCAAAAGTTGCCAATCAAAATGAGAGAAAATGAAAAACTTTTTGTAACGTTCAAGTAACGTTCTCACAACAAATGTGAAAACTACTTTAACAACTACTTTAATATCAAAACACAGAAAAAGAACATCTTCATTCTTTTTCACAAAAGGGTAACCATAAAAACAAAGTACAATTCAATTCAATGTAACATTTCATATAAATTTGATCAAAATTATGATATAAAAAAACCTGAAAAACTAAACCAGCGAGAAGGTACTTCCAATTCTCCACAAGAAGGTTGATTTCTGTGGTTGTCTCTGCACAAACTCTCTTCCATAGCTACAAATCCAAACATTGAAACACAGATTAATAAGAAGAAAAAAAACATCAAAATCATTGTACACAAAAAAAGACAACAACCTTGGAAGCCTCACGACCAATGTAAAGTGACATGTTTTTCTTGTAATTATAGATTGTTATTGAAGATGTTGCCGTTGATGTTGTCGATGTTGATGATGATGATGATGTTGTAACCGAGTAACGACCACCTTCCATAATACTTCAAAAAAACACACTTAAGGTCAACATCATTGTTACCCTTACAAACAAACCAACAACAATCGCATCAAAAACCCAGATAAGAATCAATTCGTTTTCCACTTTCCAACTATCAAAACCCGAATCTTTTTCCAGAAAAACCGACACCCACAAAGCGAAATCACCCGGAAATTATTTTAAAAAAAAACTATAAAAAAAAAACAGAATTTGTGAAGAGTAGAAGAGGATCTGATGAGAAAAAGTGAAACCCAGAAAAATTAAGATGGAGAGAAAAGAGATAATAGAAAAATGCAAGGGATAAAATAGGAAAACGGTGAAAAGGGTTTTGTCTCTCTTGTGTTTCTGGGTACTTTCTCTCTCTGAATTCTCTTTGGTTTCTCGGTTTGGTCTGACTGCAATGCACGCGAGTTGAACACGGAGGAGACAGTTGAGAAGAGGAGGAGAATAAACACTATATATACAAAAAAACAACTTGCTTTTTTTATATTCATTTTTTTATTTTAATTAAGAAAAAAAGTTTTAAATGAGTTTGGTTTTTGAATTTTTGACATCGTGATTGTGATTTTTTGAATTGGAAGACGAAAAAGAAGGGAACGTGGGATTAGGGGTGAGAATGGTACAATAATACAACTATTCATTTGTAAAGCAAATAATAGTATGCAATGTATTTTTTCGAATTTTTTTTTAAATAATAATTTTTATTTACTAGATAAATCATAATTTCAAAAATAATACTAAAATGGCAAGGTTTGAAATTGTATCAACATGCATTCGTGATTCGTCAGACGAATTGGCGAAACAGGCCAAATTGAATTTGAACCAATTCGCCAAATGGATTGGCGACAGGGTTGCTTTTGTGGGCATTCGCCCATGCAATTGGCGAATTAGGTTTAGTTTTTAGGATTTGTTTCGTTTTTCAGTTTTCTTTTAATTATCATATAATATATTTTAAAGTTTTAAAGTTTTAAAATTATCATATTTTCAGAGAAAATCATATTAAAGTTTTATAGTTTTAATTATTATATTTAAAGTTTTAAAATGTAATTGTTTTTTTATTTTAATTATTATTATTATTATTAACCATAAAATATATTAATTTATAATATAATTAATATTAATATAATTGAAATATATTCGTAAGCATAAAGTGATAATAAAATGAAATTATATTAATTTATAATGTAATTAAAAATACACGAACAAAAATATAAATATAATGAAAATTACAAAAAAAAAATCCTAATGATCGGCTCTATCCAAGTGACCAACGGTGCCACATTGGGGGGGCGCGTGTTGCGACGAGGTCTTCGACGAGGTTGTTGTGGTGTGTCAGGATGTTGTGTGTTCAGTTGTGGTGGAGGGTTCTGTTGGGACGGCCCTGGCGTATCAACTAGATCTTGCATCATTTGACCCAAATAGCGGGGAGGTCCCATTTCACATGCACTTCCGTAGTCAAGGCCAATGCCCATGTTTTCGTACGATTGTCGGGGAGGGTGGGTGGAGTATGGACGGTATGGTTGTCCGAAAGTGTACATGGAGTTGGGTTGGTCTAGGTGTGTTGGTTGTTGTGGGGTGTGGTAGTTAAATAGTGGGTGGTTGGAGGTGTAGTTGGAGGAGGTAGGGTCGAATGAGTTATCCGGGATATAGGTGGCAGGGGTAGGATCAAAAGACATATCAGGGCTGTACTAGTTAGATGGTTGAGGCTGGGATTGGATTGGTGGCATGTAAGGTGGTTGTTGTTGATAGGGGGTATATGTTGGCATGGATTGGGGGGTGTCTTCGTATGGTGGTTGTTGTTGATGGTCTTCGTATGGTGGTTGTTGTTGATGGGGGGTGTCTGTTGGTATTTGTGCGTATGATGAAGAACCGCGTTCCCTTGGATCGGCTAAATAGGTTGGCTGGGACAGGAAAGGTTGGGTTGTCGTGACAGAACTAAACCAAGTCATATATTGAAGACTTGGCCTAGCCCCGTGCACAATATTGTCGGTTAAGACGTATTGCCTTCTTCTTTTCCAAAGTGCACGCAGCTCCTTTGCAAACTCCTTCCAATCACCAACCATCCATTGTGCGTCTACCCGTTTTTGATGCCACTTCCCCAAGTCTACGGGAGCATCTGGAATATCTTGATGCATCCCAAATTGGAGTTTCACCCGATCACTTTGGTGCATCTCCACCGTAGTGAACCTAATTATAGGTGTCTTTGCTGTCCACACAGCGGCATCGTCGGGGTTGGTCTGGTGGTCGAGACCCTCGTACGACATCCAGACAAACTACAATGTAGTTGTAAAATTAAGTTAGACAGGATGTGTGAAGTGTATGCATATACATTAAAAAAAATTAGGGTAAATAGCTTACATCGTTTGGCCCAAGGTGGTTAATTAGGTTGCGGTATTGAATTATAGAGTGCCTTGGACATTTCTCATAATTCATCCCGGGTACAGACCACCTAAAAAAATAAACAGAAGTTAGAAATTATTAACTGAAATAGAATACGTAGCTACTAAATAATGTTGAAAAGATACTTACTTTTTTGCGTAGGGGAACGTAAAAGAATTTCTGTTTATTAGAGCAAGCATCGGCATCCTCGACCAACCCCAAGCTTGCAAAAGATAGGCACAACCAAAAAAAGTACAAGAATTTTTTTTGGACGTCTTACAAAGTGCGCTATATAGATGGGCGAGGACTGCTGATCCCCAGCTATATTCACACACTTTGTTGATATTACGCAATAATGGTAAATACATAGTATGAATTGTATTTCTAGTGCCGTCTGGAAATAAAAAGTGCCCAAATAAAATCATAATATAGCACCGAGTTTTGAGTATTTTCTCATACTCGGTGCTCTCATCCGTTAAAACAATACCGTTGTATTGTTCTCTCAGGTATTTTAAGTTAATACCCTGACCCCTCGGGCGGCCCTTGCTTGCCGCCTGAGGTCCGTCCTCACAAAGAGGGGCGTCCAATAAATCTTCACAAAGTCGGTCAGGGACACCAACTTTGCCGTTGACGGCCTTACCATCAATGTGTAGGCCGAGCAACATATAAACGTCCTGGAGAGTCACAGTACACTCACCACAAGGAAGGTGAAATGTATGTGTCTCCGGTCTCCAGCGTTCTAACAACGCTAGAATAAATTTTGTGTCAAGGGAATAAGATTTGATTTCGATCACACGCCCAAACCCACAATGTATAAGATAGTTTGTAATGAGGGGGTCGTGTGGTATGTAGTCATGCACACGACACCGAAACCTTGATACATCCTGCAAAATAATGAAGTAAAATTACTATAGTTTTTTTGGACAAAATGGTAAAACATAGACATGAACAAAAGGACTTACAAACTCGGCGATGTTTTCAGCCGTCCCTCTATGAGAATCACCCGTGGTTAGTACAGACATTGTCGAGAGTTGGGAGTTTGAAAGTTTAAGAGTTTCAGACTTTGAGAGTTTGCGAGTTTGAGAGTAGGAGGTTAAGAGAGTAGGAGAGTAATAGAGTAGGAGACTTTAAGTGTGAGTAGAATTTGATGGGTAAATACCCCATATTTATATTCCAAGAGTGGATATGGTTTAAGTGCATGCTTGACACTTGTGATGAGATATGTGTTGTGTGGGTGCATGCTGAGCACTTGGCGTGACATATGTGTTGTGTGAGTGCATGCTGAGAACTTGGCGTGACATATGTGTGGTGTGAGTGCATGGTTGGCACTTGGCTTCAGCTATGCGTAAATGCAGTGTCTTTTTGGTAAAAGGATGCAGATCACATGCGAAAAAATGAGATTCCTTCAGTGTAGCGTCTAATCAAACAGGCTACATGGCATTTATTGTAATGCAGTGTCCCGTCTAATGTATGAAAGCAGATGCTCGTAGGCCTACATGGTCAATGTAGGGATGCAGATCACATGTGAAAAAAGGAGATTCCTTCAGTGTAGCGTCTAATCATACAGTGGTTCATTCATTGCATAGTGTGATTTTTTATTCAGCATATTATATAATATTTTTATTCATCGTAATATGATTTATTTCATCATATTATATAATATATTTAATATTTTTAAGTCAAAGTGTGATTTATTTCGTATTATACTATTTTCCATATTATACTTTGTTCATATTATGGAGCATGCGTGATAAATGAACATCACATGTAAATGCAGAACTTTGCATTGTCACTTCATATCAAGTTTGTGGTTCACGTTATTGATTATGGAGCATGCGTGATATATGAAAGGCAGACAGAGATTCCTGACTTGAACATCACATGTAAATGCAGAACTTTGCATTGTCACTTCATATCAAGTCTGTGGTTCACGTTATTGATTAAGGAGCATGCGTGATAAATGAAAGGCAGAACTTTACTGATACATGCAAAAACACTAAGCTCATTTTATAAAGCCTTTATCAAACACACTCAAAGACTCAAACATTCAGAAGCACTAAGGCCATTATATAAAGCCTTTACCAAACACACTCAAAGACTCAAACACACTCAAAGACTCAAACACACTCAAAGACTCAAACACACTAAAACACTAAAACGTTGTTACACTCCGTTATTCAGACACCATAATTTCCACAATGTCTTAAACACCACAACACATGATTGTCGCTCATATGAATGGTGAAACTTTCGAATGTGAGGTCTCGGGATACACTTTCAGAAACACGGAGGTTACAAGATTTTTAATTGACAGAAGGTCTAATTTTTTACACCTGAAGTCAAGAATCGAAAAAAAACTGCAGTGCGGTCCAGTTGGCCAAATAGTATACAAAAACTCAGTATTCTTTGGCGGACTTGATTCGTGCAATTTTTTTCCTTTAAAGGTGCGAGATGATGAAGACGTGCGTAACATGTTCCGCACTCACGAGTATTCAGGGTTCTCAGAAATCATGGTATACGTTACGTTACAACAACAACAACAACTGTCTCAGCAACTTGATTCGTCACAAGTTTTTTGCGATTCTGAAGATGAACACCCCGAAGTCAATGTCGTTGACGAA